AATATGTGACCAAGCTTAAAGGTGGGGTAGGTCATTTTGGAGAAACCAGCTCGAGTGCGCTAGAATTTGAAAATACACAGCCGGAAGAAATCTGCTACTTCCTTACAGAGCCCCTCCTCCAACACACACGAATGCGCACATGACCAATGAGGGCACGAGATAAGTCTGTGCACAGATGGAAGGCTGACAGGCAGGTAGGCCATCCAGTTATTTTAGCCGGGCTGGCTAAAATGATTGGTCGTGCTCTTTACAGTACTACGGCTTCCATAGATGACATTTTTTTTATGGGTTTTTTGTCAAAGCACTTAAGATATTCATTGCTATCGGGATGTTAAGAGCATTCCATGGAATATAACAACAAATGTATCTCGAGCCGGTTTCTCAAATGTACCTACCCCACCTTTAAGGGCTGTTATAAGCATTGGGACATTCCCCTCAACACCCTGAACGTAATGCTGACCTCTGACCCTCTAGCGTTAAAATGTGTCAAATTATGATTACAAATACTACAGGATATTAATGTTAGGCTGCAGCAGAACACAATAAGAATGTAAGATGGGAGACCAAAGCCACACTATAGTATGATGCTTCATCAATCTGGGTTTGCCAAACAAGTGTATGTCTCCCAAAGTTATCCTCTTCTCAGAAATAAATTCCTTTATGTCTATAGGCATTACAATCCGTTCACCTGCTGCTCTGGGTGTATTTGGGTCACTAAGGGTTAAGAAGGGATATCTTCAGGGCGAGTATGTATGGAGAGGACACAGATTACAGAGATGTACATGTGTGGGAATGCGAGTATTGTATAAAACAGACTTGCCTATTCTCTAATGCAGAAATGTACGTCACATTTTTGCGTTACATACAGAACAAACAGCTGATACTGTGCTGCTACATAAAGATTAATGCACAGTCTGCATTTTATATGTAAGCCAACATTATTAAAGCTCCAGCCTGACAGACAAACAACATATTGAAGCTGTGGTGAGGGAAGTAACCTGCGGGCCTCCGTGGTGGTTATTAAGTGGATTAACCCCTTTAGATTAGTCTCAGCCATTTCTCCCATCTGTCTACTGCTACACCACAGATCTGCCACTGTACAACCACAGGACACACACACACACACACACATGCCGAGTATGTGAGCAGCAAATCTCCCACTGGCCTACTGTAGGAATACAGTATAGAGCGTACCGTACGTACTGTGGCCTCTGCCTCACATGCAAGGAAACCCGCACACATACACTAATCTATAATTAGTCGTTGATTATTATTCTCAGTTGAGTGAACAGTACACATGAAACACATGTTGCACGAATGCATGTTCCTCATTACAAACAGATTTAGACTATGAGTATATGTGTGTCTTTTGTAGTTGTTTTTGCGTCTTTGTAGTCCTTCTGTGGGTCTCTGTTGTAGCTTTGCCACTCTTTGTTTTGTCTTTTTGTAGATTTGTTTCTCTTTGGAGTCATTTTGTGACTTTGTTGTTGTTCTTGTGTCTGTGTGAAGTTGTTTTTGTTTCTCTGACTCTTTCTTAGATTGACTTCCATAGGATTATAAAAGTTTGTAAAATTGCATTTTTTTTCAAATGAATTCAACTGGTTTTGCCTTATAAAAAAAGTTACAAAGAGATGCATTTATTGTAAAAGAAAACAGAGGACAAGAGTACACATAGTCCTCGTGATTTGCAATCTCTTGATCAGCAGCAGAGTAAACCTCTCTCACCTGAAATACTCCTTCAGTCTCTCATACACAGATTTCCTTTAAACAATATTTGGAACTCCAGCAACATGATAAGTGTTGTTCTTGAAAACAAAATAATAATTGCTATTTCCTTTGAAAGAGAACCGTGATCGTTGGCCCTATGAAAGAAAATATATATATAAATTGACACGATCATTATTATAGGTTAAGCTACCCAGTATTGTAGCGTAACCTATAATAACCCGCCATTACCAAGTACATCATTGAAGTGATGAGCACATTAATGCACCAAAAATACAAAATAAAATAACAAGATGTTTAGATGTGCCTTTCTGCATAACAAGCACTTTAACTTTTGATACTTAAAGTCTATTTTGATGGTAATACTATTATACTTTACTTAATAGGTGTTTTGAATGGAGAACTTTTACTTGTAACAAAGTATGTTTACACTGCAGGATTGCTTTTTTACTTACTTCTTTTTTTTTTTAGTACTTCTTCCACCACTGTTTATATGTTATCTGGGAAGTCTGCAAAAATGTCGGTCACATACAAACATCAAAGCATGAGCTGTTACTAAACCAAACTACTGATGACTTGTTCTTTGCCTCAGGGCTTACTCCTGCCATTAAAAAGAACAACCGCTCCAGGAAAAACAAATCATGTAAACTCATTTCAGCAGCTCCAAATAAAACCTCCTTGAGTCAGACTAATTTATATTTGGATTCCACATGATACCAGTTGACTGAATGTTGGTCCGGCTATTGATTGATTGAAACAAATGCCAAGGAAGCGGCCTGATCTGACCTCTCGCACACTGGAAGGGCAGAGGGGGACAACAAGAAACCACAAGTGAGGAAAAAGATACTCTGCTCTGCCGTCAGGGGAAAACACACGATGCCTTTACTGCAATGTCAGCTGAGGATAAATAGAGCATGTGACTAAAGTGTCTCTTAGACATCCTGCACAGGTGGTGTCTGTCAAAACTAATAGGGTTCAGCAGACACATATGGACCATGGGTATGTTTTCCATCTGGAGCATATCCTTTAAAAGGTAGGTTACCTTCTTCACAAGTGACTTTAACACCAATCGTGTCCCACTCAGCATTTAGGAATTCTCTTTGAGTTGCACTGAACAGACTTCAGGTCCTTGCAGCTTTACCCTGAGGCACAGACGGGGTTCAGAGGCGGAAGATCTACTAGATGAATGATCTTCTGTCAGAGGCAGCTGCAGAGAGCAGAGGAAACCACTCTACATGGCCTTCATTGACCTTATGAAAGCTTTTGCCGTACGTGCATCCCCTTCCGGATTATTTGACCGGATACGTTGCCCCCCAGAACTCATCTGCATCCTCCAGTCACTAAACCATCATGCTAGAGACCATCAAGTTTGATTGGCGCCCACGTTGTAGGATATATTATTTTCTCTTCGTGTGTCAAGCCTTTAAATAACCAACAGAGTGTGTCTACCAAGGACATACGGTAACTTATTCAACTTTGCGCAACTCAGGTCTAAAAATTCCTACCCTCGACTTGGAAATGCTTCTCCTTTTGGGAAAGCTAACAGCTAAAGTTTGGGACAAAGGCAAACTCGAACAGTCCACATGAAGACAAAGGTGTAGAAGGCCTATGTCATCAGCACACCTCTGTACGGTGCTTTAGCTTGGACCCAATACTCACATCAAGAGCGGAGGGTAAACAGCTCTCATCTGCGCTGCCTGAGGCGTGTACTGGGCACCACCTTGAGGGACATGATCACACACACAGCTGTCCAGCAGAGATCAAAGCCTCCCAGGATGTATCTTCAGCGACATCCAGTTGGTTGGGCCATGTCTTGCTGATGGACGAATCCCAAAGACATTCATTAGAAGGAAATGTCATCCGGCAAGAGGACGACTGGCCGCCCATAGACACACTTTCAGGATGTTTCTAAGCAATCCCTGTAAAATCAAGCCCATCAGGATCAGGCCAGACTTCATTGGCAGAAGGGACTCGTGCACAGATGAGGGAAAGAAAGCCAAGAGGAATCACAACAACTGGACATCATCTACATCTGCGACCAAGTCTGTCTCTTGGATTGATCTTAAGAGCCACTGTCTACGGTTACAAACTAGAAAACAACTGCAAAATCCATTTCCTGGAGACTTCCCTTTACCCATTACTCTCCTTGCCTTAACCTAACTTTAACCAAGTCTTCACCTTAAAATGATTTATGACATATGGACTCAAAAGAAAGTTCCAAACGATGTGACTGTAAACAGATTTGTGTCACAACAACATGAGTAACAGAGTTGGGAAGTAACACAGTACATTTACTCAAGTAGGCTACTGTACTTAAGTAAAATGTTGAGGTATTTTTACATTACTTGAGTATTTCTATTTTATGCTACTCTTTACTTCTACTCCACTGCAATTCAGTGGTAAATCGTGTACTTTTACACTTATTTAATATCTTTAGTTACTTAAAAGATTTGGATTCATAATGTGAAATATAATCAACTCTTAAATCAGACTTTAGTTCCACATGGAGTAAATTCACAAGCTACCCTGCAGTATACAAAGTCATTCAAACTAGCTGCACCTTTATCCGTGATAAACACAATAATCCATCAATAATTATTATCAAAACATATCATATAGCCTATAGGCTATTATTCTGAAATGGACCAATCTGCATAATGACTACGTTTACTTGTTGTACTTGAAGTCCTCTCCAACTGTCAGTTAGGTTAAAGCCAGTCAGTGTTAAAAATATGGAAATTCGAGCTCCGACAACATATAGCAAAACCGGCCAGACAGGTCACAACCTCCCTCCCACACACACATCTGTCACGTGACCTCTGACCTCCCACATTGTTTAATGTTTCATCAGTGTCGAGGCGGGAAAACGACCCCCATGACCCAGCTCTTCTTTCCTTGCTCTTTTCAATACATTTCTGCAGATCTTTGGTCATTAAACTTAGATCTAAAATCTAGTTAGATAAAATATAAATAAACATGAATATAAATAAACAGATTATGTTTCACCTCTTTTTCTTACTTTTGAGAAGGACGAACATGTTGTTTATATCTTTGAACTTAAATCGGTGAGCAAAGCCAGACCAAGCATTCAAAGTGTTTGAGGTTGGCTCCCCCTGGTGGTCGGACACAGCCATGATGTTTATTCTGATTTTAAATTCTCGATGTCCATCTTGGTGACATAAAGCCAGAGCTCATGTACATTTTAATAAATAATAACTAAAAACGATAACCTACAATTTCAATGAACCACAACAGGATTTGATGGATTCCAACCATTTATTTTGACTTAAGAAATGACTTGAAGCAAAAAATAAAATAAAACAATCAATAGTAAATTGGCTTTATTAATACTACTTATAAAGAGCAAGTGCTTAGATTCAACTTTAAAAATAAAGAATCTGTTAAAATAAAATATATAAGGACATGTAGGCATGAATTACACATTTCATACAATAACGTTGATAACATGTTAAACATACTAAATGAGAGCATGTACATGAATGCCTTCTAATAATAACAATACAAATAATAATACAGACAGGAAGTCACTGTGTGGACCCCTCCTTCATACTTTATATTGCAGCAGCCAGACCCTCACTCATAACAAACCACAGCAGCATTGCATCTGCACACAGATGCTAAAAACTGAGGAGACACTTCACCAGTGTGTGTTTGATTCTATGCATTTTAAACATAATGTGAACCATTATTACATTTGTCTTAACCTTCAAACTCGCTTTGAGTTTTATTATTGAAAAAGCTGCCTTAGAGTTTTGGGGAGGATTTCACATCACTGACATCAACAATTCATTCACATACAGAGACACTTCATTTTCACGTTCATGAACGATTCTTCAGATGAATCTCATTCACATGCCGAGTGAGCTTCATACCACTCGATGCTCACAAACAACGTCTTCTTCCATTTATTAAAGCAGACGGTAAGAAAAACGTCAGCTTTCTCCATTCAGAATAATGCTAACTTGGGTTGACCTTCTGAGATACCAAATCCATTTAAGTACAACTTAAAACAGAAACACATTTTCCTAACAAACTTTATTTGGAGAGTTGAGAGTATTTGTAAAGTTTAAACCGCTTAGCTTTATCTGGAGATGTTTAGCAGATTATCTTTAGTGTATATGTGATAATATATGAACAGATCTATACAAAACTAATCCTGGTTATATGTAGGTCTGTTCAAGATAATCTGTTAGACAACTCCAGATGAAGCGAAACGGTAGTATTTCAACTAACATTTAAAAAGCACTCTCAATAGGCAGACTCTCCGAATAAAGTGTTTCCCACTTTTGCTCTAGAAGCTGAATACTGACATTGCATTAAATAATTTAAGGTGATAAAATGACATTAAGTTACATTCAAACATTTAAATCCTCCACTAGGAGACGACTGAATACTTATCACTGACTCTCCGGGCAAATGAAACCTCAATGCCTGGATTTCAAACACCATTTGATTCAGTGTTCGTTAGAACTGAAATGTTTACGCTTGGACTAACAGTGAGCACTTTGCGTCACTAAAAGTATGAGAGACTCGTTGTGGCAAACAGGCTGAAGAGAATATTCCAGTCTGCAGCCCCTTTCTCTCCTGAAGAATCACCCTCCCGTCCGTATCTCCACAGCTGATCCTCATCCAAACCTGAGGCACTACTCACTTTATGATGCACAATAATCCAATCCAACCACAGGTCCTGGTTGGTTCGTTCATCTGGTTTTTAAGATGTTCCAGATGATGGAGAACAACATTTGTTTCTCAGTGTCTCACTTCTGTGGAAACTCCTTCTCTCTCAAGTCACTCTTTTAACCTTCCAGTACAATTCCCGGTATAACACGTTTTCCCGTTGCAGACTAGGTCCTCATAAAAACTCCTTTTTTAATCCAAGCTCCGTTGCGGGAGAGTCTGAGATCACTGTACAGCAGATATGATCCGCTCTGAACCAATCGGCCTCAGACGTGTTGGGCTGTTTGCAGACGAGCAGCTCCTCTGTGTTTTAGAATAACTCCTATAGTCCTACAGGCTGTTCACTTGCCGTGGCGACTCCTGGGTTGGGCCCCGGGACTGAAAGAGGAGCCCAGGCGCCTCCCGTGGCTCCTCCAGCGCTGACGCAGCACAAAGTCGTAGTTGGCGGAGGTGCACATGGCATAAAATACGTTGGCTTTCTCAGGTATCTGGAGCTCTGAGGCGGAAAGAGGAATGAAGCGTTGCAATTTATTAAATGATATTTGGAATAAATGAAAGCCTGATTGAAGGCAATGAAGTTGTATTTACTGTTTCAGATGACATTTTTTGATTTGCCTGGCAGTTTATTAAAGGCAGTGCCATTGAAGGAGCTGGTTTTTAATTCCTTTGCTAGACAAGACATTAACTGCTTTTGCACAAATATTTATTTTTTGGTGCTCTCAAATTACTCAGGGGGTTATGGCAGTTTTAGGTCTGATGCTGCTTATCTGGCTGCTTTGTAATTCAGTACATAATGAGCCATATGATTACTATTTTTCCCTTTCTTTGAGTGTGTTCGACTGTGATTCACAAATAAAATCTGTAACTAAGTGGAATGCTTTTTTTTTTTATATGATAGGCAAAATGAATTAAAGACAATAAATCTATTCGTTTAAAATCTGCCGAGAGTACCGTAGAAATTGTGCAGGCACAGGACTGTGTGGTCCTGTATAGAGTACTACGCCATTGGCCGTTTGGCTTATGACTTGTATATGACCCCAAGTAACCGACAAAAAGAGAGACTAGGTGTACAAAAGAAAAGGAGGCTTTAGAAGTAATCATGTTCTTACTGCAGTAAGAAAACATAAGATAACTAGAGAAAAAACCTAAGAAGATTTTCATATTTTCACAAAGCGAAACATTTGAATTTCAACCAAAAAGCTGCTGACATATTACAAAAAGTAGCAGACAGACTCTTCAATTTAAGTGTTGCCCACTTTTCTCTAAAAGCTGAATACGGACATTGCATTAAATTATTAAAAGAGATAACATGACATTAAATTAAATCAAACCATTGAATGTTTGACTAGAAGACGACTGAATAAGACTCTGGACAATAGAACATCTCAAGGTCAGGAATCAAAACAGCGTTTGTCACTTTGTTCGTAAGTGCGCTCGGCATGACCAACAGCGAGCAGCTGGTCAATGTTGTTTACGTAGTTAAAAAGGAGGTAGCTCCTTAGTATTATAGCTATAGCTGCACTCAGAAAACATCAGACTGCTACAGGGAAAGCCTGAGAAGAAGATATGAACCTTTGCCATTGCTGAGCATCTGGCAGAGGTTGAAGCTGCAGCAGCTGACGTCCTCCATGTTGTGTTTCTCCACAGCTCTCTGGATCACCTGAGGCGTGTGGTCCTGACTGGTCAGCTGCAGGAAAAACACAACAAATTGGAATTTGTTAATATCTATACAACATATTATTGTAGGTATTCCTGCATTTAAGATAGTGATTATATTTTCAGAGGTAGCAGTGACTATTTTAACTTAAAGTAAAAGTTTTTTATAATTATCTATTGGTTTTTCATACAAATATGGAATTTAATGTATCTTATTAATTAAAATGTTTGTATGTGTATTAAACTGAAATGTAATCAAAAAAACTGTTAGTAGCAGCCTACATGATGAATTAGGGATGGGTACCGAGCCCCGGTATTAAACGGGCCCCGGGGCTGAATTATTAAAGTCCGTGGTACCGTTAAACTCTGACGTTAGCGGTCTTTTTATCGGTACTGGAGACATGTAAAAAATATGTCATATGTATTATTGCTACACAAACATTATATTGCAGTTTTAGTGTCGCCAACTCCGTTTCTAATATGCAAAAAGAGTCTATGATTATTTTTTGTATTTTTGATCTTTCCAATCCAGATGAGAGATCTCTCTCCCCGTCTGTGTGCGAGGGGGCGGGGCAGTTTACACACACGCTAGGGGTGGGCGATACCACAAAATCTGGATTCGATCCGATACCAAGTATTTCAGGGCCAGTATCGCCGATACCGATATCGATACTGATACTTTTTTAATGAAAAGCGTCTTATGTACTTTCATATAGGGGAGAGCTGCATGACATGATTTTTGAGCTGAAATCATCATAAATAGACTAAATCTGAATTCATTTTCATGAATAAAGACAGGACAGTTTTTATAGACAAATACACGTTTTACTTTTGCAAATTTAAAGTGCAAACATGAAAAATAACAATACAAAGTGGCCAAAGTAGCGAACTGTCTTCTTGCACACATCACAGTTCGCTAAGTTTTAATTGCCAGTTGTGAAATTGCTCCACACAACGCTGCTCTTTCTCTCAGCCATCATGCGCGTGTGTGTGTTGCACTCGCGAGTCGCTGGCTGCTGCTGTCCTGCCCTGTTGGCTGCTGTCAGTCAGCTTGATAATCGGCGTTCAGGCACTGAGCCTCGAGGAGAAGAGGACAGCAGTGGAGAGAGAAGAAAAGAGCATATACTTGTGTTCGTCTGCACATAGTTTTTTGAAGAAATTGACGAGTAGAGGAGACGAGAAAAAAAGTATAACAGTATCGATCCTATTGGCTCTAGTATCGATATTTTGAAACGTAACGTAATATCGGAGGTATCGATATTTTGGGATCGATCCGCCCACCCCTAACACACGCGGCTGCTACATGCAGCAACACACGGAGGAGATGGCGGAGAGAACGCGCTCCGAGGTGTGGTTAAACTTTACCCGTCTCGATGCTCGTTACCAAAAGTGCAATAAGAGTTTAGCGTAAGGGCGGTAACACGAGCAATTTGTCTAAACATCTTGCAAAAGTGCACCACATTCAGACGGAGGAATGCACCGGGTTCGACTGTTTTTCTAGTAGCTCTGTAGCCCCATCCACGAGTAATGTTTCCACGTCAGGTGTTATGTATGCTAGCAGCAACACACGGAGTTAACTACATTATACAAACATGGGTTAATGATTAGAGGAAACTGAGTTATTTAGTTTGTTAAAATTTCAGCTATTCTGTTTACAGTCTGTCATCAGATTATTTAAGACGATTTGTTAAAACGTTGTTGTTTCTTTTGATGTGAAATATTATGTATTTCATTTAAATAAAAAGCAATGTTAGTTTTGTTCACAATTTGTTTAGTTAGTTTACCTTCTCCAAAAGAACCGATACAAGTACCGTTAAAGGACCGATAAGCGGTATTGATAAAAGTAGTAGTAAAACCTTAACGATACCCATCCCTATGTATAATGTTTTCCTTATTCATAAAAGTAGTGCTAATAACATGGTGTCCCAGGAAAATAATACAAAACAAATGTAGAATTCCGATCATGCACAAATCTTATTTTAAAATAATCTTGTTTAGGTTTTCTTTCTAAGTAATATGGTGGACACAAATGATTAAGCAATACCAAGTCCTTCCTCTTCTTCTTTTGTTTTTTCCTTCTGTTTTGCTTTTTAGAAAGCCTTAGTCGACTATAAACAGGCCGGCTGACCTCAGAAACACTCATTATGAAAGCATTGTTCCTACCAGTATGCTTTTGTAGACGTTTCCATTGCTGACAGACTCCACGCTGACCCTGACGATGCACGAGTCTGCCACCTGTTTGTTGTAGACGGGCAGCGCGGCCAGAGGAGACGACTCGGGGCTCAGCCCCAGAGAAGAAGAGCTGAGGTCAGGGTGTGAGGAGGAGCTGGACAGACTGGGGGAGGACGAGGACAAGGAGCTGGAGGAGAAATCCTCCGCCACGTTGTGGAGAGAGCCGGACAGCGTCTGAGGGGAGACAGAGGAGGGGATATGAATGTGTATGAAAACTATTCCCCCAGATTTTAAACTAACTGGGTAAACCCCTGCTAAAATATCCTTAGTTGTTTTATGTTTTGAATTAGTGAACCATCAGGCAGTTTAACACTGGTCAATGTTCAACGTTTTTGTTATTTTGATTCCATGACATGTCTTCTTTCAGACAAGAGGTAATAAAACGTCTAAAATAAAGATGTTGGTGTGCATTTTACTGACTTTTTTGTGTCAGTGGATTTCTCCTACATTCACCAAAAGTTAGCATGCCTCAATTTTAATATAATATTTCAGACAACCCGTAATCCAAAACTAAATGTTCCTATTGTAAGTAAACTACTGGATAAGTTTTATGGTGATTTTTATAGTAATTTATTTACATACATATTGAATTTTACAGAACATTTCTTAAAGGCTGTTTTCCCAAAATGTGTTTTATTTCATACTCCGAGGCAATAATCTGCCCTTCAGTAGCACTTACACTGAACAAAAATATAAATGCAACACTTTTGTTTTTGCTCCCATTTTTCTTGAGATGAACTCAAAGATCTAAAAAATGTTCTATATACACAAAATAACCATTTCTCTCAAATATTGTTCACAAATCTGAAAAAATCTGTGATAGTGAGCACTTCTCCTTTGCCGAGATAATCCATCCCACCTCACAGGTGTGGCATATCAAGATGCTGATTAGACAGCATGATTATTGCACAGGTGTGCCTTAGGCTGGCCACAATAAAAGGCCACTCTGAAACGTGCAGTTTTACTTTATTGGGGGGGTCTGGGGGGGTCCGAAAACCAGTCAGTATCTGGTGTGACCACCATTTGCCTCACGCAGTGCAACACATCTCCTTCGCATAGAGTTGATCAGGTTGTTGATTGTGGCCTGTGGAATGTTGGTCCACTCCTCTTCAATGGCTGTGCCAAGTTGCTGGATATTGGCAGGAACTGGAACACGCTGTCGTATACGCCGATCCAGAGCATCCCAAACATGCTCAATGGGTGACATGTCCGGTGAGTATGGTGGCCATGTAAGAACTGGGATGTTTTCAGCCTCCAGGAATTGTGTACAGATCCTTGCAACATGGGGCCGTGCATTATCATGCTGCAACATGAGGTGATGGTCGTGGATGAATGGCACAACAATGGGCCTCAGGATCTCGTCACGGTATCTCTGTGCATTCACAATGCCATCAATAAAATGCACCCGTGTTCGTCGTCCATAACATACGCCTGCCCATACCATAACCCCACCACCACCATGGGCCACTCAATTCACAACATGGACATCAGAAAACTGCTCACGCACACGACGCCACACACGCTGTCTGCCATCTGCCCTGAATAGTGAAAACCGGGATTCATCCGTGAAGAGAACACCTCTCCAACGTGCCAGATGCCATCGAATGTGAGCATTTGCCCACTCAAGTCGGTTACGACGACGAACCGGAGTCAGGTCGAGACCCCGATGAGGACGACGAGCATACAGATGAGCTTCCCTGAGACGGTTTCTGACAGTTTGTGCAGACATTCTTTGGTTATTTAAACCGATTGTTGCAGCAGCTGTCAGAGTGGCTGGTCTCAGACGATCTTGGAGGTGAACATGCTGGATGTGGAGGTCGTGGGCTGGTGTGGTTACACGTGGTCTGCGGTTGTGAGGCCGGTTGGATGTACTGCCAAATTCTCTGAAACGCCTTTGGAGACGGCTTATGGTAGAGAAATGAACATTCAATTCACGGGCAACAGCTCTGGTGGACATTCCTGCTGTCAGCATGCCAATTGCACGCTCCCTCAAAACTTGCGTCATCTGTGGCATTGTGCTGTGTGATCAAACTGAACATTTCAGAGTGGCCTTTTATTGTGGCCAGCCTAAGGCACACCTGTGCAATAATCATGCTGTTTAATCAGCATCTTGATATGCCACACCTGTGAGGTGGGATGGATTATCTCGGCAAAGGAGAAGTGCTCACTATCATAGATTTTTTCAGATTTGTGAACAATATTTGAGAGAAATGGTTATTTTGTGTATATAGAAAATGTTTTAGATCTTTGAGTTCATTTCTTTAAAAATGGGAGCAAAAACAAAAGTGTTGCGTTTATATTTTTGTTCAGTGTAGATAGGACACTTTCAACTTGTTATATTTTGAAGGTTTTTACAGAGCTTTTTGCTCACATATCATTAATAGCCTGATTTTTATTAAATTGTATTATTTGAGACACATGGTGATAATTGATTTTATTATGTGTGGGTATTTTCAAATTGATACAGTAATAGAGAGGCGAAGTCCCTCCCCTTCCGGTGGACCTCCATGGGACCTTATTTCGGAAAAAGTATGTATTGAAGTCAATGGAGAGAGAAAGATTATCTTTCGATCCCGTTTGAATTGTGCCACGAATTACACATATGAAGTTTGTCAATCTAAAAGATAATTTTGGAAGTCAAACAAATTAAAATGTGTCGTAAAACTGTGAAGTAACACATTTTTTTGTGTGAACCGCTCAATGAACTACATCTCTGGTCTCGCACCAACACCAAGATGGCCGTCACGTTGGCACATTTCACTTCTTTCTTTCAGAATGAAGCGAAAAGTATTAAAAGAGGTGAAAATCACTACAAGTCTGGCCATGTTGAGAACTGTACGTACACACAAGGGGAGTTAGTCGGTTCCGTGAGAGCCAGCATGCGGGACCGGCTTTACAAGGTTTCGGTGAGTAACACGAGTGTAATGTGTAACGTTAATGACATCACTGACGCGACTCTGGGATTTGTAGTCTTTCTATTTGCGTATTTTTCATAGTCTTATATTTCAACAGTTTTACGACAAACTGTGACTTTTTTTACATGGAAATAATTTTTTAAGATTGGGTAATTCATGACACAATTCAAACGGGATCGAAAGATAATCTTTCTCTCCCCATTGACTTCAATACATAATTTATTGAAATAAGGTCCCATGGGGCGGAAGTAGATGGGCGGGACTTCGCCTCTCTATAAAACAAGATACAAGTTGACCTCAAATATGTATTCTTTATATGACAACGAAATAGCAGGAGTTTAGAAACAGTCTTAATCAACTTTTCAGATTTATGTTGAGGAAATTAGCATATATTCATTAAGAGAAAGCATAATTTGCTTATTTGAACATATCATTAATTATGCCACACTATACTGGGATATCACACAGGAGTGTGTCGGTGCTCACCTTGAGTTTGAGTCTGAGGGGGGAGGGCTGAGGGGCCGAGAGGTCCTCCATGTCCGAACTGCTGGAGCCAGAGGAAGAGACGCTGATCTGGTCAGCGTGGGTCTTCCTCAGGGAGCTTTCACTGGATGTTCGCAACCTGCACAAACAATACAAACACTGTTTAGTTGGGTTTTTTTCCCCCTGAAATATCCACCTAAATAAAGTTGTAAAAATTAAGCAACATAAAGATTTAGGAATTTTAGAGGATATTTGATATTGCCTCATTAAACTGCATATGCTTATATAAAAATACAGTTGATCTCATGTGTTTCATACTGTAAATGTGTTGCATCTATTTGTTCTAACATTAACACAACAAACTCAAGTGTTGTGGTTCTGACACATCTTACAAACAATGGGATCTATATTAATGTAGTCGATGTACAGTAATAACAGGGTTTTCCAGACTTACGAGGCGAGTTTCTTGGTGAGTAGACGGCTGCTCCAGGAGTTGGGAGAGCTGGGACACGGGTCCACCGGAGGCTCCAGCTCACGAGACAGCTCATAGCTTCAGGGGACAAACAAGAGATACATTAGCAAAGGATGCAATCGTCTTCCATTTTGCCTGATTGTATTGCAAGTGTAAAAGTGTGTGTGTTTCTCACCTCTCCTGGTCTGTGAGCAGTGTGTGTGCCTGCAGCCAGGCGGCGATAAGAGGGTTTACTGGAAAGCTGTAGTGGCAGCAGGAGGCCTGAAGCTGCCGGATCTGAGAGAGAATCTCAAACTCCTATAAGAGAAATACATAATACAGAGCACAGATTAAATTATAGTACAGCAAATAACATGGCAGAACATACAAACATTGAATTTACTGTAGAATTGACTAATAAAATAGAGAAATTATAGGCATTTATGCAAGACGCCACTAGGAGGCAGCACGTACCCGTCTGCGCTTCTCAAAGTTGATTAGTCCACCCTGTGAAACAAAAACAGTGTTACAAAGTACAACAACAAGTGTGTGTCTGTGTGTGTGTGTGTGTGTGTGTGTGTGTGTGTGTGTGTGTGTGTGTGTGTGTGTTCACCTCCACAGTATCGGTCAGTGCTGTATCCAGCATGGTGAGGACGGTCAGGTAGGTGCCGAGGTACGGCACGACACCACTGCTGGAGTTCTGAGGACACAAATCATTACGTTTTATTTTTTTGATAATTTTTACATTACATTTCACCTTGCCCTAAATGTACACATTTGGTTTATAGCACTAGCAAAGTTCAGATATAAACAGTACAAGATGTCCAAAATAAATCGTTGTTTTTAGAGGTATAGGGACGAGGAAGCGTTTGTAAGACAAATATAATAAAGCTTATCGTTTCAGTTACATTTGATTGACAGTGGATATTTTGGTTGAGTATACAAGCATTACGGTAGTTGTTTGAAATGTATATAAAGGATCATTACTGACTATTTATATTGCTTATGATAAATCGTATATTAAGAGATATCTTTAGGGCTACGGTTCATTTGATTTCATTTCCTTTTTTCCCTTTTTGTTACAAAATAAATTAAAAAATACTTGTTTTAGTATTTCATTTATTAAACTAATTTGATACATAGAAAACAAAGACAAAAAAAAAATGTATTTAAAAAAACATTACAAAACAGAATCAACTAATTGCCATTATGTATGATATATTTACACACCATTTACAATAATTAATTAAAACTCCTACATTTTGCAAATGAAATGAAAATGAACCCAACATTTGGAGGACAGAATGTTGAGCTACGTCATGTTTAGGAATATAAAATAATCTACAAAGTAGAAATGTACACAGACCATCACTACGTAAACAAAGGGAATATGGGGGTATAAAACATTTGACTCGCGGCCCCACCTTCACTAAGTAAACTGTCAAACTGTGACACAGACGTCAGCTTTATGCCGTTCACTAAAAACTACAAGTGATGGGATATGGACCCGTGGAAACTTTTCCATCGAGTTAACAGATTGAAAAAGAAGAGGGAACTGAAAATGAGGAGTCTATTTTAGCAAAGCTTTTGAAACATGTGACTTTTATGGAAGTAAAATTGATGATCAAGGCAGAGAAAAAAATAAACCTCTGCATTTCCATTTAATTTAAAAGCTGCACATTTTGAGGAAGCACGTTGTTATTTTGAAACAAAATGAAGACTTACAATGTGTCTGGACACTGAGCTCGGGGTGGCACTGCCATCTGGGTGAGTCCCATCCTGCAGAAAACAAACAACATGTCCAGTCAACACGGATAAAAACACCATGAATATAATGAACGTGACAGTGCAGGGTGTGCTGCAATGCGTCACACGTTTGTTATCTTCAGGGTGGAGCACCTGCTGACAGGGTGTTGTCTCCAGTTACTAATAGTGAGTGTCCAACCAACTGATTTTATTTTAAGTTTTATTTGTGTTGGCTGCTAACAATTACCTTTTTATTATGTCCCTGATAACATTCACTGAATACACATTCATATCAAGTGTTCCACAGGGAACAAAGGACACAGAGTGGCAGGTCAACTGGACATTATTTCAGTGTTGTAATAAAGACGCAAGATTGGCCCAGTAATAGGAAAGAAGAGAAATTCCCATTTGGGATTTTAGACTTTGCAAAACATTGACATGCACAAAAACCTATAACACACTACAGGAAAGGAACCCACACATAAGGCCCCTTTAATCAACAGTAAGATGTCATGTGTAGTATTTTCCTAATTATATTAACAAGTTTGTGGGATTCAATGGTGGAAAGTACCATTTATCATGCACTGTACTTAAGTACAATTTAGATGTACTTGTACTTAACTTGAGTATTCCCATGTTCTGCTACACTATGCATCTACTCCACTACATTCCTCAAATACTGTCATTTTAACTGCTGTTCATGTTTTGACTCCTTTACTTAAAGGTGGGGTAGGTAATTTTGGAGAAACCAGCTCGAGTGCGCTAGAATTTGAAAATACACAGCCGGAACAAATCTGCCACTTCCTTACAGAGCCCCTCCTCCAACACACACGAATGCGCACATGACCAATGAGGGCACGAGATAAGTTTGTGCACAGATGGAAGGCTGACAGGCAGGTAGGCCATCCAGTTACTTTAGCCGGGCCGGCTAAAATGATTGGTCGTGCTTTTTACAGTACTACGGCTTCCACAGATGATATTTTTTATGGGTTTTTTGTCAAAGCACTTCAAAAATGTATTGCTATCGGGATGTTAAGAGCATTCCATGGAATATAACAAGTGTTTCTGAAATAAATTACATACCCCACCTTTAAGGGATTTGTTACAAATGATAATAAAACACATTATTCTGGTTAAACATTAGACATAACTGTTATCCAGCAGTGTAAAAAGTGTATAAATTAAGTTATCTACGTGATAAAGCATCAATAATTATTATCCAATGATATCATGTAAGATATTCTGAAAAAGGACATAACGCATCATGATTACTTTGAATATTTTGATACTAGTTCTTTCATACTTTTACTTCAAAAGTATTTGTACATTGTTACATTGCTACTATTATGCAAGTAAAATATCCGAATACATCTAGTACAGGTGTGTTTATCACACTTTTCATAATACGGCAAAGTGGTCATTCTGGAGATCTCTTTTGATCAATTGGATGCAACATAATGTTTGCTTAAAGAAGAAATATGAATTCACCTCCACCAGGATCTCTCTGCTGGTTAGCACACAGTTCTCGTCAGGGAACGTCTCACACAGGTGGTCAAAGGTGTTCATGCCTTCCCTGAAAATAAACAGTTTGCAGTCAGTATTCACTAAGACAGAGGCTGCATGCTCAAAAAAACAGACCATCGATTTAGGGAAGCCCACTGTGCGATTATTTTGATCTTTAAATCACGCAGTTTTCAAGTAATGAGTGACTTGTAACAGCTTGCTGACCTGCTGACAGCAGCCCAGGTCTTCTTGAGGCGATACACGGCGTTGGACTGCAGGGCGGAGAGGATGGCCCTCAAAGAGGAGAAGTTCTTCAGCTGATGGCACTCCTGCACGGAGGAAATAAAAGAAATACATATATATTATGTCTTTGTTCATTTATATTGCTTGATGTAATGAAATTATTTGAATGTTTACGCTCTGACCTGAGCAATATGGATCCACCTCTCGATGATGCGTGCCCTGAGTGCAGGACTGGTGTGAGAGCAGCGAGGTGAGCTGGGGGCCGTGGAGGGGTACGGGAAGTCAGAGGGGGGGGGAGGAGATGGGGGAGGAAGTGGAAGGGCAGGGCGAGGCCGTCCAGAGGAGCGAGGTGATGACACGGTTGGTGACAGCGTTGAACTGGGAGATGGTGGCGCGGACGCTGGGCGCCAGGTTTCGGTTTTCCTTCTTGTCGCGCTGGGACCAGACGCAGCCCAGGCAGTGGAAGGGAACCACTCGGACAAACAGCTCCTGAGGAACAGAGGGTGGAATAATCTGAATAAAGTGACCCTCACAGAGTGGGGCAGTGATGATGGATTTGTGTAAGCCATAGAAGATAGCATTGCAAAGGGTTCCTGTACAAAAAGCAATTCGATTTTTTGAATATTTCAGGAAATAAGGTTTGTGGCAAACACACGTTTATGATACTTCCACGTTTTGTTCAGCAAAAGTGAATTCCACATATTAACACCACTTTTAAAATAGTTAAAGCAAAAATGCAATCAGACCAGAAGTAAAAAGCTAACGTTAGACTATTAGCGATCTACGTCATGGTCCCATGCCTCAACTTCAACACTGCTTAGCCAAAGGTGGACTTATGTTAGCAACTATTGTTTTTATTGTGCGTAAAAGCTTCAGACGTTCATCAGTGGGGTATTTACTGACATATTTTATGTCCTAGAACTAAACGTGAACACTTGTCAGCTTGTACAGATTGACTTTGGGACGAGGGGGTTTCAAAGTGCTAAAATGCTAACTCTTCCAGGTTTAGGACTCTTTCTGCACCACTCTATTGACACAGAAACTATCTTCTCAATGAAACCTACAGCGTCCAATCGGGTCAGCTGCTCCGCCACTTCTGTCACAGGGAAGTCCATAAAGTTGTGTTTGTCCTCCTCCTTAGCGGACGTGTCTCCTGCGTCCTCCTGATCTCTGAGCTCCTGCTGCGATGATTCACTGCTGTGTTCTGACGCAGCCTTGATGCAATCTGTCAAACACGCCGAATCATAAATGACAACGAAACAGGATGCTACAGAATTGTATATGACCCACAATCTATCATAATCACTTGTCCTATTCCCTCGTACCTTGATCCTGCAGCCTCTTGAGGAGAGTCTCTGCAGACTGGGCCAGGCGTCTGAAGCAGAGGCGATGGCGCAGGTGGACACACAGCAGCCGGAGGGCCGGGTACTGGGGGGGCTCGTGGAAGTCTTCATCGTATTCCTTCAGCCACAGCCGGATCACCGGGGGTAAGGTACTGAGGGGATGATCGAGACGTCAATGTGTTAATCATAAACAATATAATGCGGGCCATCGTAAAGTTCAGCTGAATCCGGCCCGGGACCATTTGCTGCCTGTTTCAATTCTGTCTCTAGAATAAAAGGCAATTATTTATGCAATATGTGGCAATAAACTGAGCGGGCAGGTACACAAATAACAATCAAAGACTAAAAATGATTTACTCCATCACACTATATTATAAAGAAACATTAAGGCACAGATCAACATGAGGCCATGAAAACATTATTTGTAGCAAACATATAATAATGTGGGAGTACACTCCAATGAAGTAATTACTCCATTACACCAATCATCTTCAATCTCAGTTCAAACTGATGGCAGATGCAAACTAATCGTTGCTAATGGAGTGAGCGCACTCACCTGCGTGGGCAGACAGTGTTGTCCAGGTTGGCGATTGAGTCCTCTCTGTAGGAGAAGATAAACACACAATAACATGTTAGCTGAGAACATTTCAGTGACAATCATCACATTATGAAGGGACAACATGGTGACTGAAAAGCTCCTGTAAAAAATACATGTCTATATTGGTTCATTCTGTGGAAATGTCCTGCAACACACTGTGACCTTATAGAGTGATGAGTGCAAACCTTTATATATAGTCTATGGTGTAAACAGATTCAAGTCTTCCTTAGGAATCCATTATTGGATCTTAAAGAAAATATATCCCTGGACTGCATGTGTAGGAAGATGGCCAAAGTTTTACAGCATGTTATTCTCTTTCATGCTTTAGAATGTGACAAAACGAGCAAATTAGAGATTGTGAAAGTGGAAAAAACATCGATGATGAACTGTACCATATATCAAAGTTGTTAAGTGGTTGATTAATGACAGCAACACAATGGTACATCCTGCACAGAATCCTTGAAAGAGCAAAAGGTTGCCCTGAGGCTGGCCTTACGTAAAGCTCACAGGAAACCTGTTGCCACAGCAACACAGATATCAGGGCGAGTGTTTGACAAATAATATATCAACTGAACAGCACTAATGGCCACAGTTTCACACAGGCAGACATTCAGCAAAGGTGAACTGAGCACCATAAAGAAGTCCAGACAAGTTATATATGGACCTGATCTCAGTCTGCAGCTTCATTATGTACATTTCTTCAGATTATGGAAAACATGACTTCTTTTTAAAGTATTAAATCCAACCCTGAAATATAATGGCAATATAATATCAGTCTAATTCAATCTCAGTGTTTTTAACATCTGAGCTCAGTCTGGTGGAGAAGCACCTCCGCTGGGTGTGGAGGGTGTAGTCGTGACCGCTCTGGAATGGAACAAAGCTCCTGAATGCTTTGTTTCCTTCATGTCGATGAGATTTGTCAGAGAAACTCGACACACGTCAACAGAGGTTTGCCTTAGCCGCACAGAGAGGCAACAGCTGTCTTCTTTGCAATTCGATGTGTGCATCTGGAATGCAGTTAAACCTGGTTATGCCCTGCTTACATTTTCATTACAGTGATGACTTTTCTAAAAAGCAGCGCTGATACAACAAATCAAAGCTGATTCGTGGTTTAGGAAATATTAAAGAAATCAAACGTGATAAGGAGTTGCAGAGGCCAAGAAGTTAGGGATTAAATGAACTTTTCAAGAGGGGTAATGTATATAGACAACCAGTCAAAACAGGGGATATCTCCAAGTGGTTGACCGATCACAACTGAGCTGGCCAGCTAACCAATCAGAGCAGACTGGGCTCTGGTTTCAGACAGAGGGTGAAAAGAGGTGCTGCAGCACAGGCATTATGAGAAAAATAAAGAGCTTTTTGAACATTAAAGCATGGAGACATGTCCCAGTAGAGGCACAAGCATATTAGGGCCCCTTTAACTGCGTAGATTCAAATGGACAAAAGTCAGCCTCACCTCTGAAACAGCAGCTCGATGAGGGTGCTGGTGGGGGTGAAGGCCCTGTAGGTGGAGAGGAAGACGTGCATGTAGTCCGGCTCCTGGTGCTCGGGGGCCACCAGGTGTGTGATCAGACGCTCCAGGGAGGCGGCCTTCAGTCTGCGCAGCTTCACCGTGTGGTAGTGGGCGAAGCTGAAGGCCGTCGGGGGCTCCGTCGGCTCCGAGCTGGGCAGCACGGGCTCCCTGCGCAGCGTGATGCCAAACACTGCCCCCTCCTCCTCCTCCTCCCCCCACTCCTGCACCTGATCCTGCAGCAGAGAGCAAGGTCATCAAGATCTGGCAAAAAAGAAATCACCAATGCAAACGATAGAGCCTTCTGTGAAGCTACTTTAATCTGATATGCAGGATTACAATGACTCCAATCTGCTTGGAACAGAAACACATAGAATATTTATCACACACATCCTTTACAAAATGTCATCACTGGCCGTTTGAACTATTGTAACAATTGAAAATGTATACAGTAATTATAGAGCTGCAACTACCCATTATTACTTTCTCAAGTCAAAAGGTAATATCTTAAAATGTCTTGTGTCAGTCCAAAAATCCAAGATCTTGGACTGACACAAAATCATCACTTAAATATAAGATTAACATAAAATACAAATGATGCATTAAGAATACTTTAAATAAATGTTTAATCAAAAATCGAAATAGTTAGTGGAAGTGGAATTTCAATTAGTCTTACTTTTTACTATATTATTTACTTTAAATATGTTTTTAATATTGAATCTCTCATGTTGTGACAGATATATTTGCACAAACAAAAAATAACTGATAAATTATAAACCAAAATTTGAGAATTATAATACAAAATATTATATTAAAAAAAGTGATTTTTACTGTAATTTAGTGGAAGAAATTATGTAAAAATATGTCATAGCGAAATGAGGGTAAGAACTATGTGTCATTGAAAATTCAAACCAATTTTGTTCTTAGTTGTCCCATTATATTTCTCTCTAATCACAGACAATTCAAATATAATTGACTTACTTAAAATAAGGGAGGACCTGTGGCTGTCACACTCAACAGTAAGTCATTGCTTTGAAATGAGACTTGTAGAAAACATGATGGTGGTTTGTCCTCACAGGCTTTATTTTGCCCATATGCAAACACAGAAGCATAGCATGCTTCAGAAAACCTGATGCCACATGGCTGAAACTCGGATAAAAACTCAGTGTGCTACAATATTACTAAAATGAGTCACTGGTGGATCCACATGAATAAATCCATTATGTCAATATGAGACAACCAGAGAATAATGTCCTTCTGAAGTTGACTACACACGTAGATAAATAATAATAACAACGTTTCACAAAATGACATTGTACAACGACACAAGTAAATTGCCTTCACAAACAATAACGACCACATTTAACTTAACCTACCATAGATAATTGCCATTTCCCCATATTTGTTGTTGAGAGAAAAATCCCAAAATTGTGTCTGTAAACTCCTTTTGATGCAGGCGTTAAACCCGCAGAAATTAAGGAATTAGCGACGACGTCCGACGGTCCACTTGGGTCTGAATAGTATTTTTCATGTTTGAGAATTCATGGAACGAATACCGATACAATTAAACAAAGTTTAGTAGTGCCCCGACGTCGGAGAGGAACGGCCGCAGAGAGTCTGCGGATGAACCGGTCGGACGGAGGGAGGAGGACAGGGAGAGAGCACTCAGTGGGCGGAGCTTATCGTACAGGTGTGGGCGGAGCTTTAGCTACTGACCAATCAAGGTAAGGAGAATAAAAACATCAGCTTTTAATATGCGGATTTGAAATATGAGTCTATCAACCATGATACTGTTATCAAGTTATTCCAGCCTGTTTATGCAAGTGAAAGATCAAAAAGCAGATTATATTTGTGAAGAAAAAAACCCTCCAAATAACTTAATATCTTAAAAGACTTAATATGACCTTTGAGAAACAAATTCATTATTTTGAGGGCTGTGTATTGGCCAGAATCTGACAATATTATATGCATCACGTGTAGTGATCACTAATTTACTCTATGTACATAATTCACTCATGGAACTACGGGTTGGGGGTATTGTTCCTCTTGTCTTCCCGGGCTGCGACCCAACAACATTTGCATTTCAGCTGCTCAATAAAGCCAGCTTTGTACCTTCATTGCACCGCCTCCGACTCCCTATCTCTCGGCACCTCACACGATACGATTCAATTTACTGATATATACTGAGATAATACAGTAAAAGCAAGTAATATATATATAGGGTTTCTTTTTAATCTTATTCTAGGAGATGTTTTTTTTCTCCATTAGTATCAGTATTTGAACACAGCTCCATACTCAATAAAATACAATAATATGCAATAAAGAAGTTTAAATGTGTTATGGACTTACAACAGTGGGATCTGCATCGGAATGTAATCTATTGTCTTTGAATGTAAAAAAAACAATTTAGCTTTTGACGAACAATAGATATTACAAAACATATTATTGAACTATTTGATCATTTCTTACACCCACGGGATCTTTTTTCTAATCACAAGGCTTTGTTTTCATCTTATTCTTTGTCACATTTACTGGCAGAAATTGAATTTCATAACAAAAAGTGGGCTACATAAAACCTAAATTAAAGAGAGCCACCTAAAAGCTCAAACCTATTAGTTAAAATATATTAACAAATCATTTACAGTAAAGTAAAACTTATATTTGTATCTGGTTTATGGGTTTTGGATTGAAATGAGTGCGATTTACAGATCTCACAGTACTGTGACATCTGGTGGCCACAGTGCAAACATCGAAAGATGAACTTTCCATAATGTCTTCTTCCTCACGCTCTCTGTCTGGACAAAGGGGGCTCGCCAGCTTTTAAACTTTAACCCCTCATTCATCAGGAAGTGTATTTTCAGTTGCATCAAAACTACAGTGATCATTTTACAGTAAAGATATGAAGGAAATATTCTGTCTGCTAGATGCAAGAAGCTGGTTCCAGGCTGACGTCAACATGGAACAGCTCATTTCAGAGCCACTGCCTCCAAAGAATCCAGTCGGGAGAGTTATTTTCTTGACGGCCCCTCACTTATGTTCCTGCCTATGGGCCCATGGTGTCAGGAGCGTGGTGTGACATACCACATAAAACAGATCTGTTCTGCTTCTAAATATGTACTTTAATGGAGCACACAATTAGGAAATATACACTTCAAGAGCCTGTCATACTAAAACACTGAATTTCATTACATCCAGAAATAATTTGACAGGCAGCAACACATTGTGGAAACAGCTGAATCAGGGTGTCCACTGGGCTTTCAGGTCAAAGAGAATAATGAGCTTTTTGTTTCTCTAATGAGTCTCTCTTTGAGCTGAAAATCTACCATCCGTTTGCCAATGCCAGCTAACCCTGCACAGAGGCTGAACAAAAGGAAGTGCCAGCAGACATCTCAATTAGTCCTCATTAGACACATGAATGGGTGATGAGCATGGGCGGATCAGGGGACAATAGGACCCTGGGCACAGGCATGCAAAAGGCCCCACCACCTCTCCTACAAACTATGTAGTTGTTTAGCCTTTTCTGTAGTCATTTTGTGTCACTTTGTTGTTCTTTTATAGTCTGGTCATTGCATCTCTATGTGGTCCTTTTGTTTATTTTTGGAGCCATTTTGTGTGTTTTTGTGGTCCTTTTGTTCGTTGCAGTAATTGTATTCATCATTTTAGTCTCAGATGTTGCTTTGTGTCTACCTGTGGCTATTTATTTGTTATCCTTTGTGAAGTTAAGGTCTCTTTGTGGTCTAATTTGGGTTGTTATTTTCTTTCTTTGCAGTTGCCTTGCATTGATGTGTGTTTGTGGGTGTCAGTTCGGTGCTATTGGTCTATTTGCAGCTGTTTTGCTCTCTTTTTTGTCCTTTTATGTTTCTCACTGGTCCGTTTTATTCTTTCCCTGGTTCTGCCTGTTTGAATTACATTTTGGGCTCCTGTCCCTAGGTTCAATTGGTCTGTTTAATAATCCATCCATTGTAATGAAGTGACAAAAAAATGGAATGTATGTCTTTTAAACCCCCACACGGTTAAACGGCTTATTTTAGCTGAAACATGATGCACTTCCTGGAGAGTCTGATCAGGTGACTAGTCAGTGTCACTGAAAGGCTACCTGTTGATGACCTAATGAGTGACAAATTATAGGAGCTGAACAGGAATGACAGCAAAAACTCCCAGAGACGAACAATGACTGGATATGAGACGGCTGTTCCGTCTTAAGATTGTTAATAGAACAAGTTTACCTAATAACTGATGGAAGACTTGCATAACAGAGTACACTCAATATAACAGTAAATCCCATCAAAGAGAAGAATGCAGTCAATCAGAACGAATTATTTTACTATCCACACACACCCAGTCACTTCAGACACATATTAGTCGGGAAGATATGTCAATAAATCGATTACTCAGCTGACCAGTACATTTATCAAACATTATTTAGAAAAATTGATCAAAAGTTGATTATCAATCACAATGTTAAATATTTGCTTTAGGGACAACATGCATTAACGTTAACCGATTTGTTTATTGACAGAAAATGAATCACCAAAAATCCTGACAATGGATTAAGTATTAATCTCAATGAGTTAATAAAATAATGTGACCACTTATTTGCTGGCTATAGCTTTGACAAAGTAAAGATTGGCTGCTTGTCATGCTAGTTTTGTTTTTTTTCCCTTTAAATTACTGTATATCCAACATCTCTGGATGGATGGACAAAACAAGGAATGTAAAGATAATGTGCTGAGCTCTTGGAAACTGTTGTTACAAAAATAAAAACCAAACAGTTAATGAAAGAGGAATACAGTTAAATCAGCACTGAAATTACAGCCATAGGATTTGGTGATGGGGACTCGTTGCTAACGCTGATGAGAAGTACATGCAGACAGAGTCGTACAATTGGTCTTTTCCCTACAATACAACAGACAAATATAGCCTCTGGCATTTCAATCTGTTGAAATGTTTAAGGTTATATCACAACACCTCCTCGCTCTTGGTGAAATACCTCACACATTTTAATATTTCGATGGTGAATCCTCCTACATGTGAGAAACCCTCCTACGTTCACTGTGTGTGTGGGCATCCGTCCTGCTCTGCAGTGGAGACATGTATTTATGCTTTCACTTCTTTGCATGATGTCCATGCCTGACATCCATACAACAAAATAATGACATCGAGAGAAGTTGTTACAGTAAACTGCATTGAAGGAACCAAGCAGGAATCCCTCACGTCAGTCATTTTAGTTTTTTCCTCACCTCGAGCTGCCCATCCGTGTCCAGTGACTGGAAGCTGGTGAGCCACACGCCGGGCTCCGTGTCCGTGTGGATGTGTCCACTGGGCCTGGTCCACAGCAGCTTCTTCATCCTGCCCACCCTGCTGCGGAGGCCGCGGGAGTCCCCTCCATCAGCGCCTCCACCCACAGAGATAAAAGTCCTCATTTCCAGCTCTGAGTCACGCTCACGGGCCCACACACCGAGTCAGATCTCCCCCACACCTGCTGCCTCATCTGCGCCAGGGAGGAGAGCGAGAAAACATTAGTTCCTCGCTGTATCAATTTCTGGTTATTTTGTTTTTATTACAACCGTTAATGCAATCGCAGCTTAACATTTGGAACGCAGTGTTCCTAAATGTAAAATTCCAATGAAGAAAGTATAAGATGTCCAGACTGAGCTGGGGGGGGAACCCTCTTTACAATTGAATAGCAGGAAACAATCTGTGTTGCAAAAGACATGCAAAACAGATTGCGATCACTACTCTGTATTGTTTTGACTGAGATGGCCTTACAAGCCCTACAAGTATATTTACTTTATTTGAATTGTATAATCGTCATAACAAATGGTTTAAAAATGGCCACACAGAATAATTTATAAAAATATTAAGACTGTAATTATATACAGAATATAACTTTTAATCAATGCTCAAAATTACATAAAAATATGTCTTTAAAAGAAAGTTACAAAATCTACAAATTCCCTTGCAACCATCGCTTTAGAAATCTATGCATCTTCTATAGCAGCCTCAATAAACAAATCTGGCATTCAAAAAGGTACTTTGAATACAAATAAAAACATATTATCCCCAAAACAAATGTACCGTAATCTTTCTCCTCATGAATCTGCATCTCGAGTGTCGATGAAGTGTTCAGAGCCCTGTTGGTTCAGGCAGAGACAGTGTGAAACTTAGAAGTAAGAGACTGTGGCATATATCAGAGGACTGATTGTTCTCTGTGTTTGTGGGCGGATGATTCTCCGCGCGCATGTCTAACCATGCGTGAGTGTGTGTCACTGTCAGCTTGGCCTCCTTCCCTGGTTAGATCTGCACTGTGATATATAATTATATTCCATTTTGATTTCATTTCACTTCATTCCAGTTCACTAGCTTCCTCATTAGAATAAAACAAACTCATTGCCTCCATTTTTTATATTCAACATAAACAGTGTTGAATCACTACTTTTACTTGACTACTTTCACATTTCCATAGTTTGGTTAAATTACTTTTTTGCATTGTTCGTATAGTTAGCTATTCAAACTACAAAACTTAGGGTCATAAAATCTGAGAATTTCTGTTTTTGACAGTGTTCAAGATGTTCTGACCATCTAAAAGTTCAACTAGAATAGACAACAGGTCTATTTCTTTAGACCATTGCTCGGGTTAATAGGAATTAAAGGAGCTAATTAAATATTTCTTCAATGCAGTATCTAATTATTATTTGTTGGTCTATTAATGTGAACAAGTGGGAACCTTTTGAAATAAAGTCAATTGATGGTATTTTTGCTGGAATGTTTTCCATTTCATTTCCAATTTGATCTTTTTTTTACAATTTTATTTTAAATACTTTCTACTTGTCATGTTTTAAGTTAACCAAACTATTTGTAAAGTTTTAGGCCAAGGAAAAACCTGATGCACTAGTTTTCCATGAAGCTTCTCAGCAGCAGAGCCTTGAGTCTGGCATGTTAGCAGAAAAGAGGATCAGTCTCATAAGAGTTTCATGAACTACTCGTAGCTAATGGTAGCATTATTGTAGTTTAACACTGTAGTTATGTAGAGAGTGAAACAAACACTGAAGCACAGACATGGATCAATTCAATCAGCCCAAAGAAAGTGCTCAGAAATGCAGATTATTTGTGTGAGTGTAGCCAATAATTAGCTAATCTGAACTCGACTGGCTGTGATGCGTTTAAATGTTTCTTACCTGTTAGTAGTTATCAATAAATTGTTCAGACAGGGTTTGTCTGTAAAACGTGACAAATGCATCATTCAAAGCGTCTTCTACAGAGTGATGGTACTACATGTTGGATTGGAGGCCTGATGGTTCTCACACTGCTGGCGGGGATTCAAAATCTGCAGCAGCCAGCGCCCACAGACCCGCCCCCGCTCACAGATTGATCGAACAACGCACCAATGAAATCTCTTGCTACAGGTAAACACGGACATGCAGTGGTTGTGGATGTATTGGGCTGTATCACACATCCATGGTATATCAGCCAATCGGCACGTTTTAAACTTTTGAGAAAAGTTATTTATTAATCAGTGAATACTTTTAATATTTCTGAGATATTTGATTTAATAATGTATGTAATGTGTAGTGTAGCATAGATAGACAATCGTTGTCTATGTCAACATATTGGGCAGGATTACAGTTATAATGCATTTGTCAAATGTGTGATCAAATGTATTGTAGGTTATTTTGTAAAGAATATTGACCCATGTTTAATGTTTGCTTTTTGTAGTTTTGTATTCTTCTGTGTTATGTGACTGAGTCAGATCCAATTAAATATTGATTTTGTATAAATAATCTATTTTTCTGTCTTATTTTAGGAGATTGATTTTATGTGGGCATGCTGTTCATTCTTTCTTCAGGACCCCATTTTTTTATAAAAATGAATGTGATTTTGATTTATAACGTATAACTATCTGCACACAAATGCAATTCTACAGGAGCACCAAACCCTTAGAATTAAACAATAATTTATTTGATCAATCATAGTTGTCTGTCTGGTTGAATTCTGTATGCCACTCAATGGCAGATGTATCAGTTGGACAATTAAACACAGAGAACATGATTGAGTTACACACTCATGTTTTGTTTTGCTAATTATAAGAAAACAAAACAATCCACCCAACAGCAACCACAAAGTATTTGAGCAAAGAGGCACAGCCATTTCTGACATGCTGAGCAATGCATAGCAGAGATAGTTCAGGTGTTGACGCTCACATGTTACGGTATGCTGGGACAAAGCAAATGCGTCTCTAGTGTCGACGTGATTCACTTGTTAAATAAAGGCTGGATTTGTCAAAGGTGTTGGCTTTCAGGAACCTGTATCATTTCTGAAAGGTACAACCCTATCACGTTCACGATGAAAAAAAAATGACAAAAAGTAAAAGCAATATTTGTATTTTCTTTATTAGGTTACCATGCAGAGTGTGGACTTGTGCACTGGGAATAGAAGCAAAGGACCAATCGTTTGTGTAACAACAGAGAACCTTACTGTTGTCAAAACACACACTTACACAACATATTTCAAAGGTACTAACATATATTTAAACAAAAATCATCGTAGAGCTTTTTAATTGGGCTAATAATTCATTTCTAAAAATATATCATCTCATTTGTATTTGTCAAAGATTTGTAGCAACACATAATAATTTTCACTTGAGCGGTGAAACATTAATATAGCGATTTGAAACCTGAGTCCTGACACTGAAGCGATCAGAATTTGCCCTTCTTCTTCCAGGGCTTCTTCTTGGACTTGGACTCAATGATCATCTGAGACTGGCGCTTCAGTGCCTCGCGAGACATGACGTCAGCCTCGTCCTCTTCACTGTCGTCCTCTGAGACACAAACATGGGGAGTTTAGATTGTGTGCTGGAATTGTTCTGTCTGTGTGTGTGGCTTCCAACTCACCGTCATTGAAGAAGTCCAGCCTCTGGTCCTCAGGCAGCTTGACGCGGGTGTTGTACTCTGGCAGCTTTCCCTCAATCCTGACATAGAACTGCTCAGAAAAATAGCAAAAATGATGTTAAAGATGTACGTTTTATTTGAAAATGACTCCTCAAAGTTTCTCAAATAATCTGACTTTACGTTGGTCTTTTTATGACAAATGCAGAATGAAATGTGAAATCCAAAAAAACGGAAATGAATATTCATTCAACGTTAGGTTTATGAACTCTGTCGAAGACGTTATGTCTTCAGCTGGGTTGTTTGTCTGTCAGCAGTTCATATAAAAACTACAGGTCTGATTCTCATGAAATATGTAGGAAGTTGGCCAAGGAAGAACCCATAACATTTTGGAGGTGATCTAAAATCTTGTAAATGCCCCCTCAATGTTTTAACATCCAAAAGTCTGGAAACATTTTGGTACATGACATGTTGAGATGATGTCATGTCAGGCAGAAACATGGCAGTTGAATGTAAATCAAATCAAACACTTCTTTGAAGCATCTCTGTTGGTGCCAACTTTGGAAGTGGGACCGTCCGAGCAGCATGTGAATGCACCACAGCTGAGGTCTGCGCTCTCCAGGTGCCATTCTAGTTTTTCACATGAGGCTCTCTTTTTAAAAGTCTTGTCATATAAACATAATTTCACATGTATCTAAAATGTCCTATTCCATCTTTTTGAAAAAAACGTTAAAAGAGCCAGTTTGAAGTTGTAGGAGAGATTTCTTTCTTCAGATGTATATAACAAACCACTAACTTTTTGTTTGTACATTATTATACTGGTCCTTTATATATGCCTTGTATTGTTAACGTAGTTTTGTGTAGGATAAGTGGAGGAGTTTTAGAGTCATGTCTATGCCATGTAACTGATATGATGAGCAGTACAGTAGGTTTCCAGAAGGGAAAATGTACTTTGTTATGGTAGAGGTGCAACCTCTTGACCGGGACAGCCAACTAGTTTCTAACGGTAGCTTTGAATCAAACAAAACTAGACTGGAAGATATCAGCTCACAGTTATGTCAATTACAAAGAGTATGGCCTCTCAAAATGGATCTGAGGGTAAAACAGTCAATGTCATTAGCAAATGGCCTACAGACTGGTACACTCTGATATCATATGTTCTCAAACAGAGAAAGTGCCGTTGAGCGTTGGTAATCTGGAACAAACACTTCAGGTGGCTCTAACGGCTGCTTTTCCATTCAGATAAGCTATGCACGCACAGCAGCTTCCATGCTAACATGCTCAGCCATGCTGCGTTCATGTGTAGCACTGTGCACGTCAGCAACACCTCCATGCCAACATCAGATCTTTTTTTTATTCCGGTGAATTTTTGTGAACCAATTAAAAAGATTGATATGTCTTCATTTACGTCAGGGAAAACAAAAACAGTGCCTGTATTTAAAATAGTCTTGAATGAGTGTATATGATTGTGGCGTCGACTCACTTCCTCTTCCTCCATCTCCTTCATGATAGCAGACACATCCTTTCCTCGAAGCTCCTCGTGCAGCAACTTCAGCTTCAGCTCACACTGGGTCATCAGCACTAGCACAAACTCATCTGAGTCTGGAGACACTTCAGACACCGTGTCCTCTCTCTGAGAGAAACGGAAGAACGGTGGACACACATACTTATGATTGTCAACACACCTTTTGAGAGAAATGGAATAAGAACCAAAGATGGATGCGTTGGTCGGGAATACGTAAATGGACAAATAGTAAGGAAAAGACAGATTATAAAATAACCCTATAGACATACAGTGGGGCAAAAAAGTATTTAGTCAGCCACCAATTGTGCAAGTTCTCCCACTGAAAAAGATGAGAGGCCTGTAATTTTCATCCTAGGTACACTTCAACTATGAGAGACAGAATGGGGGGAAAGAATCCAGGAAATCACATTGTAGGATTTTTAATGAATTCATTGGTAAATTCCTCGGTAAAATAAGTATTTGGTCACCTACAAACAAACAAGATTTCTGGCTCTCACAGACCTGTAACTTCTTCTTTAAGAGCCTCCTCTGTCCTCCACTTGTTAACTGTATTAATGGCACCTGTTTGAACTCGTTATCAGTATAAAAGACACCTGTCCACAACCTCAAACAGTCACACTCCAAACTCCACTATGGCCAAGACCAAAGAGCTGTCAAAGGACACCAGAAACAAAATTGTAGACCTGCACCAGGCTGGGAAGACTGAATCTGCAATAGGTAAGCAGCTTGGTGTGAAGAAATCAACTGTGGGAGCAATTATTAGAAAATGGAAGACATACAAGACCACTGATAATCTCCCTCGATCTGGGTCTCCACGCAAGATCTCACCCCGTGGGGTCAAAATGATCACAAGAACGGTGAGCAAAAATCCCAGAACCACACGGGGGGACCTAGTTAATGACCTGCAGAGAGCTGGGACCAAAGTAACAAAGGCTACCATCAGTAACACACTACGCCGCGAGGGACTTAAATCCTGCAGTGCCAGACGTGTCCCCCTGCTTAAGCCAGTACATGTCCAGGCCCGTCTGAAGTTTGCTAGAGAGCATTTAGATGATCCAGAAGAGGATTGGGAGAATGTCATATGGTCAGATGAAACCAAAATAGAACTTTTTGGTAAAAACTCAACTAGACGTGTTTGGAGGAGAAAGAATGCTGAGTTGCATCCAAAGAACACCATACCTACTGTGAAACATGGGGGTGGAAACATCATGCTTTGGGGCTGTTTTTCTGCAAAGGGACCAGGACGACTGATCCGTGTAAAGGAAAGAATGAATGGGGCCATGTATCGTGATATTTTGAGTGACAACCTCCTTCCATCAGCAAGGGCATTGAAGATGAAACGTGGCTGGGTCTTTCAGCATGACAATGATCCCAAACACACCGCCCGGGCAACGAAGGAGTGGCTTCGTAAGAAGCATTTCAAGGTCCTGGAGTGGCCTAGCCAGTCTCCAGATCTCAACCCCATAGAAAATCTTTGGAGGGAGTTGAAAGTCTGTGTTGCCCAGCGACAGCCCCAACACATCACTGCTCTAGAGGAGATCTGCATGGAGGAATGGGCCAAAATACCAGCAACAGTGTGTGAAAACCTTGTGAAGACTTACAGAAAACGTTTGACCTCTGTCATTGCCAACAAAGGGTATATAACAAAGTATTGAGCTATTGACCAAATACTTATTTTCCACCATAATCTGCAAATAAATTCTTTAAAAATCAGACAATGTGATTTTCTGGATTTTTTTGTTTTCTCATTCTGTCTCTCATAGTTGAGGTGTACCTAGGATGAAAATTACAGGCCTTTCTCATCTTTTTAAGTGGGAGAACTTGCACAATTGGTGGCTGACTAAATACTTTTTTTGCCCCACTGTATTTTGTAATTGAATAAAGAGAGTAAAACATTTATTCATTCAAAACTAGATTCCCTAGTTGTTTCCCACTTTTGTTGTAGTTCCTTGTTTGTCTTAATTGGCCTTGTACTGCTACCTTTTTCTCACAATTTAGCTTCTATAGGAGCAAAAATATATGAAGAGGACCGTAAATTGCATACAAATGTAATTCCTTTAAAAATAACAAGAAACAAAAATAAGTGGCAAGAAGACCTACAGCCCTGACGCCTGAGGTGGTATTTACCAGCGTGATGTGTTGAAGTTTGTCTGCGAGGTGCTCCACTCCGGCTTGCACAGTACTGAGGGCTTTCACCAGCCACTCCAGACGCTCCTTATCTGCATCACACCTCTGCTGCTGAGCCTGCAGCTGCAGCTCACACTCCTCCAGCGACTGTCTGTCACTAAGAAAACACACACAGAGAGAAAGAGCTTGAGAACAAACACTACAGCTGCATGCAGGCTTTTGTTCCACTTCTGTTTGAGTGTCTCACCTCGAGAGTTCAGCCTCTCCCGAGTATTTCATGTCCTGGAACTGTTGGTCCAGGAGCTCCTTCTGCTCCTTCAGCTGCTGCAGCACCGTCTCGTTCTCTCCCTTCAGCTTCTCCAGATGCTGGTGTGTCTCCTTCTGTGAGATGAAGCGCTCCACTATCTCCTACACACACATGAAATAAAATGTTTTTTACAATATTAATACAGTACACAGTTCACAGGCTATCCTTCTCTTTCTCTCTTCCACACCTGTATGTCTGTGACTCCCGTGGCCTCCTTGATGCGTCGGAATGCCTCCTCAAAAGTGGAGATGACCTTCTCCTGTTCGCCTGCTATCCTGGGGCTGCTGCGCTGAGCCTCGCTGCTCAGCTCGTCGGGCTGCATTGCTGTTCTCTGAGCCTACAGGTGCCGCAGTTTAGAAAACGTATTTCATTATAAAGAATGTCTCAATTTCACTGAAAATATATATGTTGTAGCCTTTTCAATGACGTCCATACAGTAGCTTTAATTAATTGTAAGAATATTTAAAATGCATTATTTTCTGCTCACAGAACTGTGTAAATAATTATTTAGAAATGAATTAATGCTCATAAATACTTCATCATTCCTAGTCACTGACTTTTTGATATAGTTCTCATAATTGTAATACTTTAAAATCACTGTTGCAAGATAATAACTGGGTATTGTAGCGGCTGAAGTATAAGGTAATAAAACAGAACATTTTATTTGTTTGTTTTTATTTTGTTGTGATCCAATAATAATAAACAACATATAAATGCAAAAAAATGATAGTCTTACTTTGGATAATTTTTCCTGCATAAGATTCAGGATTTGGAGCGGCAGTTTTTATAAAGTTTCATTTTCAGTGTTCAGCTCCAAAGCAAAAAGCCATGCCGTCAAAGTGGATATTTCGGTCGATTTCGGGATTAACTGCGTTTGAAATGAATGATTACATTTTTACAATGAAAGACACGTCGGAGCATGGACGGACTTTCACATGAACTACATCTGCACATCTGCAGTGTGTGCACGTGTTCCCTAGCTGCTGAATAGGACAATGGCCTAACTATGGGAGTGCTAGTCATTGTTTCGCATTTGATTACTCCCATTTCACTTTTCTTTTAATAACACTACATCATTTTGATTATGACGCTTTATGATTTATGTGCTAAAAAGTTATAATAAATTGCTTTGTAATGTAGAATTGTGACAAAGCATTATGAGTGACTATCACTCTGATTAAACAGTGCTAAAAGCAGATGAAAATGCATGATAAATATGTTTGTTTTGCATTTCTGATGGTGATCAGAGAAGAGAACCATTCACTACGATAAAGTGTACAATATACACCTCCGCGTTTTCCTCACCCTTCTATCGGTTTTTTCAGCCTGGGCCTTGCGCTCCTCTACCTTCTTCCTGTAGCTTGCTATAATACGCTCTCTCTCCTTGCGCTCCTTGCAGAGACATTCCTCCAGCTGCTGCAAGTCAGCCTGCAAGGCAGAGCAAAGGGAAGAAGAGATTTAAAGAAAGTTGAATGAAAAATGCTGTTTGCACACCGCATAGCGATGAGGTAGGCTCATGTATCTGTACTTGTAAATGCATCAAAATGAAAATGATTTGTATCCGCTTCACTTGTGACTCATATAATTTATTATATTAGTGTCAGTAATTATGAGTGAATCATTTTTGTTACGCCTTTACTAGCACGCTGCAAACTCATAGGAGCAGAGGAGGGTTACAGGAACCTTAGCAGCTTCCTTGGAGAGCTGAGCGTTGCTGTTCATGATCTGCATGTCGTGAAGCTCCTCTCTGTGCTTCAGGATCTCTGCCTCCAGACTGTCCAGCTGGCCCTGGAATGTCAGACTCTCATCCTGAAGTGGAAGAGTGAGAGATAAAAAAAAGAACGGACAGGAAATGGAAAGAGTGAAAGGGGTGGGGACGAGAGGACTGTTTACAACCACTGTAGGAATGATTTACTGGCTAATCTTTAGGTTGGAACAAAATAACCTTTTAATCAACACCTGCATTAATAAGGAAAGTGATAAGAGGGTGGAGTGATTTAAGTATCTCAAAATCACCCTGGACAATAAGCTGAGCTTTGAACAGCAAAGAGCTGACATCGTACACAATTTATTGTTAAGGGATTTTTGCCCATTTCTATACATTTTTGGGTACTCAAAATAATTACATTTGGCACCGAATCTGTTTATCAAAGGGTCTCAAGACAACAAATGCGGCAACAGCTTATGAGACATAATCATACGGTTATAAGCCCTTTTTTTACACTCTAGACTTTCTTTTTGAATTGGTGCCTGATCAAAAAACTATTTTTATTTCTGATTTATTACTAGGAAAACTTGACACACAGTGCCAACCTGCATCTTAAAAAGAATATTCAGATTCACAGTTTCAAAGGATGAACACTATTTTGTATAGCACATACTGTTGACCTGCAAGCTCACCCAAAGGATACTTAAACGTGTCTATGTGGGTGTCTCACGGTTCACATGGATAACTGGCAATAGCTTGTTGAGTGTGTTTGTTGTTGTTCTGACTGGATGTTGTGGTAGATCAGCTGCTCACCAGCTAAACCACAAGAGGGGTTAACAGGTTTGCCAAATGATTTCCTACAAACCACCCCAGCTGCCCTTTATATGGAGTGGCAGCTCTACAGTATGTTTGATACACTGTGGATGTTGTGGTGAATATGAATCCCTCAATACATCTTGATGGAAAATCTCAAATGAAAGTCTAAAGGCTTGATCTATTATTTCACTCAAGTTGAACTGGATAACAACATTACCAGCATATAAGTGTGAACAGATTGATGTGCATTCTAACAGTTGGAATATTTGTAAAGTTAAGTAACAAAATGGAGGTCAAGTTGAGAGCAAACAAAGGTAAAGTGAGCGTGGGACAGGAGGTAGTGTACCACTGTGAAAGTCTCACTCAGTGTTTATTTATCACAAACACAGTACTAACGCTCTCATAAGGGTGTCTGCTAATGAGGAATGCACAGTTACAATATTTCTACTTACTACTTACATACGTTTTCTTGGGCAACTTAACTTGCTGAACAAGCTGCATACCCCTGCAAGTTAAGATGAAAACCAAACTATATGTTAACAGTGTGTGACTCACCTGCAGGTGACTTTTGAGCTTTTGATAGTTAATCATGATGTTCTCGGCCTCCTTGCACTTAAACTGAGTCTTTTCCAGACTGTTCTCCAGCGCCCGCAGTTTCTGAAGACACACACACACACACATTGTTTACTGAGCGTGTACTATTCTGTCTTATATTTCATTAAAGGGGCCCTCATTTTCTGGTTTATATTATATTTGTATTTTGTGTGCCTCTCCTGTGACATGTCTCCATGCTTGAATGTTCAAAAAGGTCTTAATCTGTTCTTATACTGCCTGTGCTGCAGCTCCTCTTTTCACCCTCTGTCTGAAACCAGAGCCCAGAACAGCATCTGTTGTATTTGGTCAACCGCTTAAAGATGTCCGACCCCTTAGCCTATCACGTAGAATAGCCAATAGAAGAGCGAGGGTTACATAGTGATGTCATTATGTTAAATAAATCAACAAAGGAGTCCAATGGAGGCGTTTCAGGCAAACTCCTTTTGAAGCTAACTTTAGGATTTTAAAATGATCAGACCGTTTACAGGCACAATAACCTATATAACACACTACAGGAAAGGGAAACCCCCCAAAAAGCACAATAGGGCCCATTTAAGAGTGAAAATTAGCATAACAGATTTTCTTTTTCAAACATTTCTGCATGAGCTTGAGAGGTATCCACCATGGCATCTTCCTCTTTTTTCCGAGCTCTAGCGTCGGCAGACACTGCTCCACTGCTGCCCTCTGGTTTACTCCTCTGGTATTCCTTCTTCAGCTCATCCAGGCGGCACTGGAAGGTCTGGGTGGTGTGTTTAAGGGCGTTGAGACGCTTCGTCTTGGACAGCACTCTCTGGTCGAGCGTGGTCAGGGCTGCCTGAGAAAAGAGTATTGTCAGGGAGAGTGTGGTAAAGCTATAATGGAATAAGACATTTTTCAGCCATGACCATGACTAAAACATTGAGTTTGCTTAAATTACATAAGGCTTGGATCATTAAGTCCACTTGGTAAGCAGGTACTGTACAAGCTATATTCATTGAGAAAAGTCCCGGACATACATACAGATGTTGGGGGAACTGTCCTTTTATCTGTGGTAAAACTTATAGTGCAAATAGTCCAACAACATATTTGTGTTTTTTAGTCATAAATAATGCTTCTTCCTCTCACCTTCCCTGACATGTTGCGGTAGGCATCCTTCTCAAACCCTCTGTTCTGAAAGGCCACTTTGATGATAGTTGCATCCCCCTGGGGGGAGCAAGACACCAAGGGGTACAAGAGTGTTATTGGCAAGAAAGTCAGTAATGGGGTTTTACTGCTCATTTGACTATAATATTGATGAAAGAAAATAAGCAAAAGAGCTGGGAAAGTTCCCTTTCTATTTTTAAAGGACTTACAGCGTTTACTTCTGCCATTTTCCTGCACAGCCTCTTGTTGTCCTGCCTCAGCTGGCGGATGGTTTCTCGGTTCTTCTTGATAGTGGACTGAGAGCTCTCATAGTACGCAGTTCTGTCGCCCTCTGGTGGACATACATAATAATTACACTAATACACACGATACATATGGAGAACTCGTGTAATTATTCACAAATTACACAGCTAATTGCTGTTTATCTGGTATTAGTGTATGTTTTACAGTGGCTAGTCACAACCATAAACGGAAGCTAACGTTAACTACCTAGCACCTGCCTTAGCTTGAACAGAAGTCGACGCTAAGAACAAACAAACTTACCAAGAAGTTGTATTTTACGCTGCATCTCCGTTATTTGGTCATGCAGCGGAGGTTTCATTGAGTCGGCACTGAACGGCATGTTGGTGCTGAGTTATTGTTGTGCAGGTAGGCAACAAATACAACCTGACAACAGTCGGCGTTAGCCTAGCTTGACCTGCACGAAGACTTCTGGTAGTCTCCAGTGTTGCCTAGCAACCTGTACACTAACGCTGAAGTCAGGCTCCTCGTTTCAAACTGAGCGTCTAGCCACGGAGGTGATAAGTAACTAATCACATTTACTCAAGTAGGCTACTGTACTTAAGTACAATTTTAAGATACTTGTACTTTACTTGAGTATTTCCATTGTATGCTACTTTGTACTCCTCAATTCAGAGGCGTGTACTTTTACTCCACTACTTTTATTTAATAACTTTATTTACATAGCCTATGTGGGTCGAACCTCAGATTGAGGAGGAACAATGCGGATTCCGTCCTGGTCGTGGAACGACGGATCAGCTTTTTACTCTCGCAAGGATCCTGGAGGGGGCCTGGGAGTACGCTTATCCGGTCTACATGTGTTTTGTAGACTTGGAGAAGGCGCAGTGGCGACTGGTCATTAGGGGCAGGTGGGGCACAGCCCCACCTAGTGTCAGCAGAATGTATTAAAAGTAATGATTACAAAAAAATGCAAAAAATAAATTAAAAAATATATAAAATATATTTTAAGATCATGTTTAATCATCTGATTCGTCTCATTGCTGTTTTAGTCTGTGTTCTTCTAATTAGTGTCTACAGTGTGGGCCTATTGAGCTGTTTAGAGCCATGTGGGACAAAACCCGATCCTGCCCCTCCCTCTCCCTGTTTAAGTCAATGGTGACTGTAAAAACTACACTGCGCATGCTCAGAGTATTTTCCTTTTTAATGTGTGTGGCAACAAAATAATGACCATAGGGGCATAGAGCTGCCATCCCCACCATACGTCATCTCACATCATTCAGAGCTGATTGGCTGTAAGTACGTGTGCCGCGAAAAGTGTGGTGTGTGAAGAGGAGACGAGAGAGCTGCAGTGAGGCGTCCTAAAACCAGGAAGTAAGCTGCGCATGGCTTCCCTCCACAAAAAAGCAATGATATTTCTCCATAGGATTTTAGAAAATAGCTCAAAATAAGATCTGTGGGAAACAAACCTGTTAGATAAATGCACGTTTTGTTCAGCCGGATAATATCCACATGTCTACCCTACTTTTATCATTTTCGAATCATAAATCTATTGATTAGATTAGATTTATTATAAATGGACTTCATCTTCAAGTCAAGGTAAGACTGCAATTTGATTGAAAATGGGATCTTACTAAGAGAGAACAATTCAATATTTAAATGATAAAATTACATTTTTTGGGTATCCTTTTGTTGAACTGTCTGTTTAAAATTAATTGAAGCATCAGACTAAAAAAGCTTTTGAAAATAATATTATATTTTGATTTAGGTCAAAATATAATATTTGTAAACCTGAAGAGCCAGTGCCTCAGCAGCCATGAACCTCACTGCAGAAGCTTATATATACTGTAGACATCTACGTTTTTTGTGCCCCACCACTTTTGTACATATAAAAACGCCACTGAGAAGGCGTATGACCGAGTTCCCAGGGAGTTACTGTGGGAGGTGCTGCGGGAGTATGGGGTGAGGGGGTCTCTACTCAGGGCCATCCAATCTCTGTACTCCCAAAGCGAGAGCTGTGTCCGGGTCCTCGGCAGTAAGTCGGACCCATTTCCGGTGAGGGTTGGCCTCCGCCAGGGCTGCGCTTTGTCACCAATCCTGTTTGTAATATACATGGATCGGATTTCGAGGCGTAGTCATGGGGGAGGGGGTCTGCAGTTCGGTGGACTAAGGATTGCACCACTGCTTTTTGCAGATGATGTGGTTCTAATGGCTTCATCGGTCTGCGACCTTCAGCACTCACTGGATCAGTTCGCAACCGAGTGTGAAGCGGCTGGGATGAGGATCAGCACCTCCAAATCTGAGGCCATGGTTCTCAGCAGGAAACCGATGGACTGTCCACTCCAGGTAGGGAATGAGTCCTTACCCCAAGTGAAGGAGTTCAAGTATCTCGGGGTCTTGTTCTCGAGTGAGGGAACAATGGAGCGTGAGATGGGCCGGAGAATCGGAGCAGCGGGAGCGGTACTGCAGTCGCTTTACCGCACCGTTGTGACGAAAAGGGAGCTGAGCCAGAAGGCAAAGCTCTCGGTCTTCCGGGCCATTTTCGTTCCTACCCTCACCTATGGTCATGAAGGATGGGTCATGACCGAAAGAACGAGATCGCGGATACAAGCGGCCGAGATGGGTTTTCTCCGCAGGGTGGCTGGTGTCTCCCTTAGGGATAAGGTGAGAAGTTCGGTCATCAGGGAGGGACTCGGAGTTGAGCCGCTCCTCCTTCGCGTCGAAAGGAGCCAGTTGAGGTGGTTCGGGCACCTAGTTAGGATGCCACCTAGGCGCCTCCCTAGGGAGGTGTTCCAGGCACGTCCAGCTGGGAAGAGACCAAGGGGTAGACCTAGGACCAGGTGGAGGGATTATATCTCTTCGCTGGCCTGGGAGCGCCTTGGGATCCCCCAGTCAGAGCTGGTTGATGTCGCCAGGGAAAAGAAAGTTTGGGGCTCTCTGCTGGAACTGCTACCCCCGCGACCCGACCACGGATAAGCGGGAGAAGATGGATGGATGGATGGATGTGGGTTAATGATGTGAAATATAATCAGACTGCTGCAGCTCCGCTGTCACAAGGACAGATACAGGGAAACCTGCCCATTGCAATAACACTGTACAATAAATCACCTCTGGCTGGCAGAGAACTCTCTGCTCCATAGCTTCTCTCTTCACTGTACATTTATATATTCAGTTTAATATTTATTATTCCACCTGTCACATAGGCCTACTTATATATAATGCCTTGCTTTATATCTTGTTATTGTTCATTTGTATATTCAACGTATATTTTCTACTTTCTTGTTTATTTCTTGTCTTTTAATTTGTATTGTACAATGCCATGTCTTAATATGTATATATATTAAAACTAGCTGCACCTTTACCAGCTTTGATAACACTTTAATAAAAACATATAATACTTCTACTTTTACTTAAGTACAAGATCTGAGTACTTCTCCCACCTCTGACTGGACCTTTAGTTTATTTTACAGTCATTTTTTTCATGTGCTAAATATAATAATGATATGTCTTTATTGATCAAAGACCATGCTTAATAATACATTAATTAATTAATTATTAAAGATCAGCTTGAATATTCTAATGTTGATGGCCGTAAAAGAGAAAGCAGATTGCATATGTAGCTTCAGTGGGATACATACACAAAGCCAATTCTTATTGTTACTAAAGATTTCCAAACTAAATGTAGTGTTTTCATATGAAATATAAAATAACCTATACGATGATCATTGTTTTAACTAATTTTGTATGCACTCTTGAGAGCTAATTATGGCACGTAGAGCAACATGTATTCATTGACACAGTCCATGCAAATAAACTGTAATGCTTTTACTGGCAATAAATAAATAAATACATTTAATAAATAATCTTCCATATGGACAAATATAGGAAGCATGAATTAATAACTTTTTAGTGCCATTTCACTGATTATTATTTGATGTCTAAAACTAAACTTCATAACTTTACATAATAAAGTTTACGTTTCAAAGTAAATACATTATGGATTAATTATATAAATATTAATAACTTATATATATATATATATATGTGTGTAAGCTATTCATATTTATATATATAAGTATGTTCTTTTATTTATTAGAAGATCAAAAATATGTAATGGTCTCATTTAACAAACAGACTTCAATAATGATTTTGTATCTAACTCTTATTTGTCAGCATTATCAAAATAAGAACAACACTGATCAAATCAAATAAAAATCCAGGTTTTTGTGTCAAAAATAAAAGAACACGTGGCCTTTCCCCCTTTGAACACTTATATGGCAACACACATTTTTATTAAGATTTTATTCATTTCTGAAGAAATTACAATTAGTTTACAACAAAATGAAAAAGAACAACTTTTACAAATTCATTACAGATATGTTTTATATGAACACAAAACAACATAGGTGCATAGAAATTAAGACTGCAAGTCCAAGTAAAATCACTTGGTTAATTTGTAATCTCTCAAGGCTTTGAGAAACATACTTAGCTTTTATCAGCCTGCGTTGAGCAACTTTGGTTTGGTGTGCTAATATCAAACAGTGCAATATACTTAGTAAGCAGAGCTTTACACATGTATCTACATGCTACCTGCCATCAACTGTATCTCAATGGACCTTTCAAAGCATCCCATCAACTTGATGACAGAATACACACAGAGTGACAAAAACAATGAACAAAATGTACAACAAAAACAGATTTTTCTTCTTTTTAAATGGACAGTTTATAGGATCTAGTGGCATCTAGCGGTGAGGTTGCAGATGGAAATAGTCTGAATACCGCTCCCCCACCCCTCCTATTACATAACATGGGGAACTACAGTTACCTGAACGGCCCTTTCTAGAGTCAGAGTTTGGTGTGTCCTTTCTGAGCTACTATAGGAACATGGTGGTGCAACATAGCTGACTCCATGAAGAGGAATCTTAGCTTCAAGTGATACACTAATGAAAACATGAAAGTGAATACTATTTCCATTCCCTCCAATAAATCCCCAACAATCCTTCACACTGGACATTAAGGCCAACTATTGCCTAAATTAACAATATTTCATCTGAAAGTGAAGTCTCATATTCCTTCTGATGTATATCCTCCTTGTTGGGCAAATGCAGGCGGGCAATTAAGGCTTTGTAACAAAATCCTAAAGGATCAATATTATCATCCATAAAACATTAATGAATCTCATTTGGCAGCAACACACAAACATACATACATAATGTGACACAGGAAATGGCACTCTTCTTTTGTTGTTATTTCCATCACACAAACAAACACACACACACACACACACACACACACACACACACACACACACACACACACACACACACACACACACACACACACACACACACACACACACACACACACACACACACACACACACACACACACACACACACACACACACACACACACACACACACACACTAACGTCACCTAGTCTACAGGTTTGACCTCTTCATTGGACTTCTTT